GCCATTCTTAAAATGAATCCAAAATTGCAAGAAGCTCTTTGTCGTAGATTTCATAGTTAATCTTGGCTATTGAAAAGTTTTTGGAATAAAAAACTACTAGATGAAGTTTATCATCTATTCTTCTTTCTGATAATATAGCATGTAAAGCAAATTTTGATGCATCTATTTTCATAAAAAATGCCTTTGAAAAGTTGATGCAATATAAGATTGGTACATAAATAAAGGCTCACTTTGAAGTTTCAAAAGGTGTTTCAGCTTCTTTACTCCATTCAAGTTTATTTTTACAAGTCAAACATATAAGTCGAGCTGTAATTTGAGAGAAGACTTTGATGAAGATCCAATAATAGTTAGCAAAGCTCAAAAAGTATTGGACATCTCCTACCATTTTTAAAATCTTTTAATCTATAATTTTTAAAATTTTCTTAGCATCCTTCATAAGTCCATCATTTGAAATGATGTATCTTAAGAAGTCGACTTGAGTAGTATAGAATATACACTATTCTATCTTGACATAGAGTCCAACATCTCTTAATTTTTGTAACACATGATGAATATGAAGTTTATGTTCATTTATGTTTTTAGAATAGATCAAGTTGTCGACCAGATAATAGACAATAAAATCATCTGAAAACTCTCAAAAAATATCATTCATTAGATTAAAAAGTTATCGGTGTATTTTTAAGTCCAAAAAGTATGACGTTATATTCAAAATATCGATACCTAGTTCGAAATGCAATCTTCCATTCATCTCTTTTTTTAATAGGTACTAGATTGTATGCTCTCCATAGATCTATTTTTGTATAGATCTTGGCTTATTTTAATTGATCAAGAAGTCCGAATATTAAAGATAGAGGTTACTTATTCTTGATAGTGATCTTGTTGAATCCTTGATTCATCTTTTTTCTTTACAAATAAGATTGGAGCTCTTGTTGGTAATTTAGAATAGTGTATGAAATTCTTGGTGAGATTCTCTTCAATATATTCTTTGAATTCAGCTAATTTATTTTGTGTTAAACTATAGAATGGTCCAAATGGCGGTTGTGATCCTTCTTGAAAGTCAATTGAGCAATCATAGAGATGATGTTCTAGAAGAGTATCCGCATTCTTCTTCTGAAATACATCTTGAAATTCTTGATATTGGTTGGAAATGCAACTTGAAGTCTTTGCATCATTAGAAATAAGTGTGGCATAAATGACACAAGGTGACCCTTCTTTTGCAGCATGCAAGAAAGCTCTTGCACCTACAAATATAGGTTTAATTGCTCTAGACTTATGACTTTCTATTGGATTAATTTTATTCTTAATTATGCTTTTAAAGAAGTCAAGGATATGAGAAATCAAATCTATACAAGGATTATATTTTTTTAACTATGATAAATCTAAAATGATTGAATTAGAAGGAGATCTAATTATATTAAAGATTATGCAACTACTATGATCATTTATTGCTACATCTATAGGAAGTGTTTCACGAGTAATATCTCCAAAAGACAATAGATGACCATCTATGACTTCTACATGAATAGGTTTGATTTTTTGTACTAATGGTATTTTATGACTTTTAACAAATTCTACATCTAAGAAACAAGTTGAGGCTCTTGAATCTATCAAGGCAGAGGCTTTATATTTATTAGGTTGTAAATATAAATCTATTTTAAAACAAAGAGAGGATTCTGAGGAGAAGATAGGACCTTCATTAAAAATTGTACAAGATTCCAGCCACATGGTCCATATTATAGTTCGACAAATTCGTTTTCCAAGACATTTTCTTCTTTGACAGATGTGCTCCTCATTTTGTGATTTTGTTGCTTCTTTGGATAATGTTGAGCAACGTGTTTAGATTTTCTATAATATAAGTACAATCCTTCTTGACAATGACAAGTCTTTTCTTACTCAATAAGAGGTTTAAAACATACTACATCAATTTATATATCTTCTACTTCTGAATGTATGTGTTGAAGAGATACTGGTATTGCCATCCAATTATAGTAATATTGAGGGCCATTTATACAACTCTCAAATCGAAATTCAAAAAGTTAATTGTCGCATTTCACAACATGGTCAATTGTTTGACTCAAAATTTGAGGATCAAGTAAGTTGAGGATCAATTTCTTTATTTCATATTATAATCCATAGAATAATTGGCTAATAAATGTAACATCATCCTACTTGATATCAATTACAAATTATCAAAATTATAAAGTATATAATGTTATAGATTGATTGCCTTGTCACAAAATATGGATCTTATTAGTAGTAATATGAATTGAAGTTTTTCATACATGGATCAAAATTCTACCAAAAATGTCTCCAAATTATCCAATATTGGATCTTGTCATTCAAGAAAAGATGAAAACCACAATAGTGTTGATCTTAAAAGAAGTGTATCAATGAATCTAACTTCTGATCCTAGAGTTGGATAGCTTTGGAGTTCAAGTTCAATCACAAATTGTACTTAATTGATAAATCTTCAAAATTTAGATCTTGTTCCATCAAATTTCTCGGGCAGGGCAATTTTTGGTTCTCTAACACTTGAAAGATGATCCACCATAGGTAGAAGGATATGATTTGATGTAGATGTTGAAGCAACTCTAATTATCTCTATATCTTCACTTTTTGCCATTCTTGTTGATCTATGTGGTGGTAAGCTAAGTTGATGCATCGCAAGCATCAATTCTCTCAATTGCTCTTGCATTTGTGCCATTGCACTCTTCATTTCAACAAGCTCTGCTATATTAATACTCAAAAGAATATCTAATATCACTCAAGATAAGCAGAAGAAAAGACTTGAGGATAAAGAAAATACTAAGAATAATATCAGTTTAGAAGAGGATAATCTGTAACTTCTAATATGCTTATGTCTTATCATGATAAAGGAGTAATCTATTCTTAATCAAGATAAGACAAAGCTTTGATATTGTAAGTGTACTCTTGTCATTCTGTCAAAGACATGAACTAAAAGATGATACATAAACCAATGAAATCTATGTCAAAAAAAGAGTAATAAAATATAAATAAAGAATTATGTATATTAAAGAAAAATTAGAATGGCTTATTGCAAAAAGACAAGAAAACTTGAGACACTTGAAACTAGACTAGAAGCAAGAAAGGAATTGGCAAGAGTGAAGAGGATTCACTCTTGTCTCTATATATACTATTTAACTAGGGGCTATGTAGTGATGTTCTATAGGATCTTCAATGTGTGTTGACTTTGTAGGACACATGCCTTGACTTATAAGGCAAGTTTTTCTACGTGTTGGCTACATATTTAGCTTGGTCTTCAAGCTAACAATATGTGAGGCACATGGCCAACTTGTTGACCACATTTCTAACCTAAAAAGTCAATTAAAGATACATGTAAAGTCAAAAAAGCATCTATGAAGCTTCTAAGAAGCTAATATAGAAGATATTATAGAATTAACTTATTTCTACTTACTTCTACTTATTTATATAGGTAATTACTAGCTTACATGCGTATGTCCATGACAATTATCTAGTTCTATATTTTTTTTAAAAAAAATTAATTAATTGTTTTTTGTTTATTACAAGGTGCTTTGGTTTCTTTAATAAGAAGGTTTGAATATGAATACAATTTTGTAAAAATTATTAATATTTATAAAAATAGGATAAAAAATTATTTTCTTTTTTTTGTACATCATTATTTATTATTTTCTCATCATGTTTTCAGATTCTTAAGATTAATTTTCTTAAGTATATTAAGAATAATATAGTCAATTTTTAAAATAAATATAATGATTGAGATTATCAATGTGATTATCTTACATTATTTCAAACTATATTAATTGAATTCATCAAAACTTGCCCAAATTAATTACAACTTTAATATATTTAGGAGAATGATAAAGCGACCCAAATTTTTACTAAAGCAACCCACTCTATTTTAAGCACCATTGCACCTTTGGAGCCCCCATCCCTATTCCTAATTGTTCTCCATTCTCAACTATCACTAAAGATGGGAATGAGGGGTCTAAGAACTTTGAGAACGAGGGCAACAATTGGAAACAAGGAAATGGTTGGGAATGGAGCATGTGGATTGATTCAGTAAAAATTTGGATCACTTAATCATTTCTCTATATTTATATTTATATATATACACATGTGTAAATGCTTTGAAATTTTAGTAATTCTAATAGTATAGCTTCTTGTCAAATCATCTAACATTTAGGATGACAGAATGAATGCCTCCCTTGTCCATTTCATGTCGTATTCACGACATGAGCACCCGGCAGTCACAAGACGAAAAAGTTCTCCGCCACAAGACCAGACTGTGCCACGATGACACCACAGGTTGGATGACGTGGCTCAGTGCGTACGTCGAGTTGGCTGGTGCTCCTCATGGTGGAATTGGTCTTGGAACCCACGCCCATGGGTGCTCCATACCCTCCCCCCCCCCCCGCAACCGTCGTCTCAGTTCCTGGAAGGTGACAGGGGCGTATCTGGATGAAAGACCAATGGATGAAAATTTCTGAAATGCCACGTCAGCTGAGTTATTTGGTGCAGTGGACATTCTTGGAAAAAGGGTCCCTTCTCACCCATTCACTCTAATTTCAATTCCTTTCTGTTTGGATGAAGATGTAATATTCTTAAAAAATTTCAACAAAAATTGTAAAAAAAACTAAAAATCACATGTGTTTAGTCCATACGCAACCCTAGACAGTTTGAGCTAGATGACTTGAAGACCTGGTCATTTATGTAAACATGACGCAAAAAAGGTTTCAATTTCATTTGCAGGAAGTCGATGCATCAACAAACTGTTCCGTTTTTATTATTAAAAAAAAGAAAAAAAAATGTGTTGATACTTATTTGACACTGTTGTGAGTTTGAATCAGAAACAAGAGATGCAACAGAATGCCACCAGCATTACGTGTGGTGATTCTATAGATGGACTGACTTGGAGCTAAGCGATGATGCTTCATCGGAATGCTAGTTTCGCCGGTGTTGTCGTCCGTCGCGACATTCCAACACCAATCTCCGAGGTTCTCGAAGCGAAGTATTCTTGTCGACAGCGAAGACGTGCTTCGTAATGGATGACTAGAAACAAAGTGGGGCCATCGCAGGTTTTGTATCAATTCCCATATCGTGACTGATGTTGACCACAGTCTCGGGTTGCGAAGACAGCGCCTTGCAGCTGCTGCCCCCGAAATCAGCTTTTTGCTACACCGCAGGGCACATGTCGATTCCTGCAATCGTGGGTTTTTCTGTAGTCCCAATCCAGAAGGAAACGTGGTAGTTTACTTTAGCCTCCACACCTTCCGAACCCTGGAGATGAATTGGAACAGAACCTGAGCGATGAGTGCAGGAGTCGCTAGAGCTTGCAACGTAACGGGCACCGCCTGTGGAGAGGAGAATATTGGGGAGCACTAGTTATGGCGAGAAGTGAAGGGGATTACGAGAATAATACTGCTGTATACTGTAGACTATATGTACGCTACCTTTTGGAAGGGTAAGGTTCTTAGGGTGGGGGGTGGGGCATGTCTTGGAATTCGGGACCCTTGGGTAGCCCACTAGGAGCTGCAATCACTATGTGTCCGGAATCATTAAGGGCGTTTGCAGGGCGCAAGTCAAATGAGACCAGATTTGTGCAGAGAGGGCGGGTGAGAGTGTGTGCGTATACATGTGGGGGGGGAGGAAGGAGATCTCTTGAGGCTTGACACGAGTTGGGTTTGTGTGCCTATATAATGGAGTCTGGTCCATGGTGTTCAGCAGTAGTTTCTACCTATCTGGGTTGATACAATCGACACCCGGACAAAGCTGAGATTGAATGAAGTGTGTGAGAACGAGGTGAACCCAGAGCTGAGACGTTGCTGCTGCTTTTGCTGCTTGCTTTTGCGGCGGAGCAGTTGTCTCGCAATATATGCTGGGAGTGATTAGGAACTTGCTGGGATTGTGGCTGCGGAGAGAAGACTGGAAATTTAAAAGTTGGAGTGTTGTGCTTTGAAGCCAGTCCGCGTGTTGAATGCCTTGCAGTCAGCAACAATCGGTCGCCTCGTGCTATTTGAGCAGGTTTTTCTTCGCTCCTGGTCCTCGCAGGAGACCGCCGACAGTGAAGCAGACATACTCGACTGCCTGGAGGCTTTAAATCTGTCGGAACTCTGCTAGAGTTTCATACAAGGAGTTCTCTTTGCGTGATTGCTCCTCTTTAGACCTCATAATCTGATAGTCACATATATTGAAGAACTTGGATCCACTGATAATCCTCCTTATTACGTCCAGCGCTTCGATATTGGCCTGTGGTCCCTAGATTATCCCCAATAGCAGGTAACCCCAGGTAATCATCCTAGGGTTCCAAAGTTGGACAAACAGCTCCAGAGCTACTTTGATAGTCACGACACTTCAACTCTTTTTGTTGCTTCTTCTTACACTTGCTTTAATGACGAGACTCTCCAAGTCCAATGAGGACGTTCGGAAAGGAGCGTGGGCAGCGGAGGAGGATGAGAAACTCCGAAAGTATGTGGAAACCCACGGCACAGGCCATTGGCGCAGTGTCGGCAAGAAGGCAGGCCTTCAGAGATGTGGGAAGAGCTGCCGTTTGCGCTGGACTAACTATTTGCGACCTGATATTCGGCATGGAAGTTTTGACCCAGAGGAGGAGGATCTCATCGTCAAGTTGCATGCAGCTCACGGAAGCAGGTACCAATTGCGCTGTAGTTTTGATGCTAACCTTCGGAATAAACGTCAGTGATGAATGTTCAGCGTGCACAAGAAGAGTTGTTCGAGGGTCTGCGGTACATTGTTTTGTAGAAATGGACAGGGTTCTTACCAGGAAGTGATTCTTTCTGAGTGCAGATGGTCTCTTATTGCCGCACAGATGCCAGGAAGAACAGACAACGATATAAAAAATCACTGGAACACCAGGCTAAAGAAAAAGCTCTGTGACATGGGCATTGACCCCGTCACACACAAACCCATCGCCGACTTACTTAGAGATCTTGCTGGAACCATGGCTCAGTCTACCGGAGGAAACAATCAGGTTCTTCCTCTCGCTAATATGTCTGTTGATTCGCTAGTAGAGCAGTAGTGTTGATTTTGTCTGATTCTACTTTAATGACGAAGAAGGCTTGACTGTTCATTTGCTTGTACGTGCAGGCATCTGAGGAAGCGGCACGAAGATGTTTTCGCGACAGTCTTGTCAGCAAAGCCGTGCGAGAGTGTGGGAAAAACAACAACCCTGCATTCTCATCGTCTCAGTTGACGAGCCATTCTATGAATATCCACCACACGGACGAGGTCAAGTCCATTGTAGGGGACCCTCACGGCGCCAACGATTACTTGGGTCAGAAAAGCTCTAACAATTCAGGTCTGTCCCATAGCATGGACGACAGCAGTAGCACAGAGGAGACACTCTCCCGGCGCTCAACCAGTCCACCAATTTCGAGTGATTTAGACTACCAGAGAAGTGCATCAGGCGCGGATGTTGAAGACCCCTGCCGTCGGTTTGCCGTTGTTTCTTCTGCTCAGATGCAGATCGAAGCCAACTTACATTCTAGATTCACTGAAGCCAGCACCACGCTTCCGACTTCATTCCTAGATCCTGCAGGTTGCAACTCATTGACGACATCGCCACTATCAAGTTCGGGATCCGAGTTTCTTTGCCAACGGAAAAGTGACCAAACTCTCGCAGGACCCCATCAACTGAGAACCAGTTACACTCGCTGGTTACCACCTCGAAACGCGCTTGCGCAAGAAGATTTTCCAAATGCAGCAGTACAGTTACCTCTCAGCCGGTTCGGCTCGGAGGCCCAAAACCAGTTCACGGCTCAAAGCCACGCAGAATCTTCCTTCATGCAGGGATCAGATGTTACCAGGCCCCAGCCGACAGCCGCCGCAAGTAAATTGGACATCAGGATCAACCTTGGGTTCAATCATCAACCGGAATCGTTGCAAGAGAATTTGAATTTCGGCTATAGAAGCTTCGGTGGTCCATTGATGTCGCCGGCTGCAACGGGGAATTCCTTGCTGGACGTCTCGGCGCAGCATGCGTTGTCTGGGTATGCTGGACAATTCCCTGGTTCCATCATAAATCCAAGCAACGTGAATGTGGCAAGTTACAACAGCCCATTAGCTGGAGCTACAGCTGGGGTGCGTCTTCACGAATACGAAGTGCCAAGCCCAAGGATGGTGTTGTGGGACTTCCAGGAGTAGACAGTATTTTTTAGGAAACCAGTTTGGCTTCCATTCGGCAAAATATACAACTTCCTGAATTCTTGTTTCCTGCACAAAGTGTTTGCATTGTCTCATGGGCTGGTTTGCAGGCTTCAGAAGGTTTCCTAGTTGGTAGAGTAGAAGGCAGCTAAAAACTCCATCATTTTGTTGATTCATGTATATTCCTTCCTATTCCCTGATCTGTGAATAAACCAACTCCTTTTCAAATTTGTAATTATGTGGAAGGTCTCGTCATGTGCCGTTCCTTGGTTGATGTTATTCGCGATTTAAATTTCATTGTTTTAATCATCAAGCTCTAGACTGATGAGCTCATTTCAGGCCACTGCTTCTGTTTTTCTCACCATTTATAAGCTGGTCATAAATACTTTGTATGGCAAAGAATATACCACGTGATATATCTTTTGCGAGAAGGAATTTGCGGCAAATTGATAACACCTTCAACTCCACTTTATCTATTCGATAGGCGGTGCGGCCCTTCGACACTTGTGGCAACAGTTGTTGAGACATCTCAACTGTACGACACGAATAGCTCTAACGCTGTAGAGGACGGAGATCATCCCAATTGAAATTTAGAACCCTCAATGATTCTCCAAACATGGAAAAGTCACGCTTAGTCTCCGAAATACTGCCATTATAAAAGATAGTGCCTGGGTCCTGTCTAACGGGGCTCTATCACTGTGATTGGTATACCATAATTCAGAATCTGCTAATGTATACGAAATGAACTGCGCATGTGCTTTTTGTGGGAGGTCATGCGCCTGCATTTAACGTCACTTTCTGTCAAAAGTGGCTGTGATGTAATTTTAATTGGAGAATACATGGACCTTATAACTTTTTAACTTATATGGAAGACATTTTCTTAGTAAAGTTTTAGTGACCAATCTTCCCGGTTCAAGTGAGAAACACATATACTAGAGGGAATAAGAAGAAACACTACAACTGTATTCTGGATGGTACGCCAGGTGGGTGTCAGAACCAAGACCTGACACTCTTCTGCCCTATAACCGAACCACGGTCGTTCCATACAAACCCACACTTTCCTACTAATAAACCCTCGGACTGAGAATCCGTTAGTTTCTGATTCAGTCAGGCGAAAAGCCCCACTCTAGCCTCATAAACTCCAACTGTCTCTCGAAACTTGCAATTTATCTCCATAATGGCGGACCAATTAATGAATTTTCTCACCACCACCTTCTATTAATCCTCCACTTAGCATTCATGGTGATGCGATCACCAATCAATCCCACATAAATGGGCTTTAGTGAAGCAGGCTGGGATTTGCGGCATAAGACGAGTACCTGTTACGAGGATCTGATCATCGGAAGCATGGCAGGATGGTATAGTACCGCTCGTCCTTTGTTGTGGCATTTAAATGGGTGGTAAATTCCTGCAGGCGGTCAGACGATTGGGGTCCGTACTCCTTTCCATTTTAGAGCTGGTGGTGGGATCTGACAACCGCCTGCAGGATGCCAGGGCAAAGTCAATCTTCGTTTGATGAGATGGCTGTATCCGGAATGGAGATGGGATGGACTGGGATTCCGATTGAGACGAGGAAGATGATGGCGGGCGGTGTTACAATTTCGTTTATTGTGTGGACACCGCCACCTCGGACAACCGAGAGTTATTGATCAACTTCTTGCATGTGGCTGGCCACGGCGGGAGTTGGCGCAAGGTGCCAGATGGGTAATGATTCAGTGTCACGCTGTCGTAGAGGATGATGCAGATATTCGATGCAATTTTTTTCTGTGTCAGCACGGCCTGCAACTTAAACTTCATGGCGCAGACCAACGATGGCATGGCGGAGAATTGAGTTAGTCGTGTGAGATTACCTGAACCGGAACTATGACACACTCTCCAACGATCATAACGTTCGTCTTGAGACTTTTCACGGGCTCAGAACAGTCTTGTGACTCTACCAAACAGCTTTAGTCGTAAAGATATGTGAAGATGAGTCTTGGTAGTTGCTGGGGCTCTCACCTCGAACATTATATCTCAGAATTCTAAACCAACTAATGCTCGTCACTAAACAAGCAAACTGCGGATTCTATCTTTACTGTCCTTTTGGAAAGTACTCTCCCACTGCAATACAACCTTGTCAAGAGGAATTTATGCCGTATAAATCCTGGTTCACGTGGGCATTATCTGAAATGCAGAGCTCACATTTCACATTGGGTGTTACAATCTGAACAGTGTAGGAGACTAAGCATCTGCTCTTTAAATGCTGTGCAAACAGACTTGAAGAAGAAGTCCACACATGCACCTGCAGTATTTATGAGGTTTTGAAGTAGGAAGCGACCGATTCAATGCATGGCATCACGCTTAGGCTCTCCGGGCAGTCCATAAATACGCAGGTATTCATTGCCGAAGATATTCAGAAGGCGCTATTCTTGTGATCCTCATTACAGCAGTAGCAAGTTCAGCTCCTGTTTGCTTGTCTGCTCTCCTGAGTGCCTGATCGATCGACACGCTAAGGGACCGTGTTAGAAAATGAAGACCTTTTCCGGATAGCGTCACTTGTCGATACCTTTACTGTTAACTTTTAGACTCCAGGAGTCGGCTTGGATTGTGGACGATCCATCACTCATATTGACTGAAAGTTCACGTATTACTTCTGGGGAGTCAGCAGCTAGTATCCACAGATTGCCATCAATATTTTAGTCAGCGTAGCCATGTTTTCCATAAGTTTAGATCAACTAACATGAGTACAAATGCAAATACTTATTGGACGATACTGGATAGCATTTGTGATGAAATTTAAGGGTGGTACCAACCCCAGTCCAGCACGTTCTGACCTGTGAGCCATATGTCTAATCATCTCATGGAAGTTTGACTAGTTATCTTATTAAGAGTCCACGCGCTCTGCTGAACAAGAAACACAACATCCTTTGATTTGTCCGCTTATACTTCGTGTTATATTTCAGCATGAGTGTGCGTCTAATACTGAGACTGAAAGGTGAAGCAAGCCTGAACCGCGAGTTGACCGTGCTCAAAACATGAGGCTGGCTTCGAAAATAATAGACGCAGTAAAACTATGAGAAATGAAAATTCTTTCAGATGTCCTCCGAGAATGATTAACTCAGGTTACAGAATAAAAGCCAAGTTCTAGCAAATGCACTGCTGCCATGGTGGTGAATCTGCACACCATTGCGGCTTCTCGATAAGCGCATTTTAATGGACCTGCTTCTCAGAGTCATGGTGGACAGGGCTTCAGGAAACACCACATGCTTTGAAAATTCATGGCCTTCTGTTTCATGTTCCAGGCTTTTCTATGTGCCAAATTTGGGCTTCAGAATCTGCTCCCTCATTCCACAACATCATGAAGATGAAGCATCAACAAACACAACTTAATCACATGTATTGTGTTTTCCATTGGTCACTTAGACCTGGTATGTAAGAATGCGTGAGATATGCAGGCTGCGTGAAGAACAGAAACTCTATAAATGGTTATACATTTCAAAGCTAGAAGATACTGACCCAGATACTTAAAAAGTTAAAAAGAAAAGAAATAAATTAAACATTAAAATGTACAATAGAGAAATCCATGGGATGGTTTCAATTCAACCAAAAATTTATGGACGAGGTTGACAAATTTTTTTATTTTGTTTTGTTTCTTTTGACGTGCAGAATGGTAAATGCTGTAGTTAAACAATTGCATGGACATGTGTAGAAAAGTGGATTACTTAACATTCACAAGGATGATCCGTACATTGGCTCTTAACTACTTTGACAGATGGTTTTTGTTTCAGAAGAAACTAGTGGTTGTTGTATGGAAAAGGTGTTGTGAGTGCACACATGAAGTACATCAAGTATTACATGGCAAAAGTTGTATTTATTCAATAATAATTGTATCTTTTTAAGTTGGGTATATATTATTTGTATATAATTTTAAGTTTGAGAAGTTTTGGTAAAAGCATAAGTCGATTTTTTTAATAGTTATTTTAAAATTCTGATTTATTTTTTCAAAACATACTTTTTAACCATAGAATTAAAAGATATTTGAAAGTTTTGTAATTTAGATTGGTTCGTAAAAAGAAGAATAATGCTATAAGAATACTACTTGCAATAAACTTTCATTAGAATTGATAATTGTAAAAGAATTTATAGATAAGAAACAAATGTTACAAATGAACTATGTGTGTGCATATATATATTTATTTATATATGCACATAAACACATTCATATATATACATTGTATCTTAAATTTTATTTAATAATTCTTATATTAAATATTTAAGTAAAAGTGGTATCAATAGAAGAAAGTTTAATATTCTTTACTTATGCAATTTTTATGATAAATGAAAGATCTTTAAAAAATAAAAAAAATTCAATAAATAAAAAAATTGAGGTTCTTTAAATGTACTAAGATTAATTTATCAATTTCAAGTATCAAGAGCATATATATATAGAGAGAGAGAGAGAGAGAAGAAAAAAAAAAAAAAAAAAAAAAAAAAAAAAAAGAGAGAGAGAGAGAGAGAGAAATAATAAAGCAACCCAAATTTTTATTAAAGCAATCCACTCCATCTTAACCATCATTGCACCCTTGTAGCTTCCATCTATATTTTTGGTTGTTTCCCCTTCTCAACCATTATTAAGGATGGAGGTAGTGTCATGATATAACATGATTAATGAATGAAAGAGATAAGAAAAAATTATATTATAAAAGATTTTATTTTAAAATATTATAACAAATCATCTTAGAAATATAGATAATAGTCATAAAGATAGTAAAACTAAAGAGTACTAATGCTGTTCTTTTACAAAGTAGGCTTCTACTTACTTTGTAGGACCATTAATAAAGAAAAATAAAGTAGATTGTAAAATTAAATAGTATAGGCATATGTAGAAAGGAATCAAGAATAGATTCTAGTAAAATTTACCTCAAGAAGCCAAGAATTAATATTCAAAGAGGACCAATTGTCAACCTGGATTGAAATCAGACCTAGAGACACCAAACCACATATCTACAATGACTTTAGGATTCTATAGGAGATCAAATAGTGGAATTTAAGAAAAAACTTGAGGAGATATTTTTGGGCATTATTTTTATATCAATTGAGTCAATATTGAGTTTTTGAGGGATTTTTAAAATTAGAAATATTCTTGGTCAGTTTAAATTTTGAGAAATAAAAGCATGTTTACAAATTTGAGGGTTTCTTGAGTTTTTTAGTATATGTATAGATAAATTTTGAGTATTATATTGGTGTAATAGTCATTATTTTTGTATGCAAATTTTGAAGTCAATCAAACAATTGGATCAAAGTATGTAAAGGTTTTTGTGGGCTAAGATCTTAGAAATTGGAGTTTGAAGGTTAGTGAGTAATTCTAAGATTTTCAAAAATTTATGAATTACATTGAAGTAAACTTTTTTTTATATGGATACTAGATTCAATTTCCAAAATTTCAGATAAAATTTGGAATAAATTCAATAGGTTAAAAAGGAGATATTGATACTAGAAGTTCAACATTTAGATTGGAATAAGAAGTTGCCTAATATCTAATTGAATTATCTTGCATTTCTCTCAATTGGTAAGTACAATTGATTTCATCTTTCTTGTACTTGTTTCTAACTAAGATATTAAGAAGTATACAAATTTTGAGTTGATATCAATGATTTGATTATTAATCCTAATTGAAATCCTAATTATTCTTATTTCAATTAGATTATTTTTATTTCTTTAAAGGTTTATTTTTATATTTCTTTAAGATTTTTTATAATTTTTTAAAAAAATTAGTTTGGGACTTCTTTGTATTTCTTTTAAATTTATTTTAAATTGATCAAATTTCAATTATGATTATTAAGATCTACTTAAGATTATTTAAGATTCTATTAGACTTGATAGGATTATTTTTGTATTTCTACTTATCTTCTTAAGGTGGACATCTAGTGCATCTTCAAGCAAGAACACATGTAATATGATAGTAATTGACTGCAAACATTGAAAACAAAGGTGGTGGTTGGAAATAGTGAAATGATTGGAAATAAGAACAAGGTTGAAAAGATATAATGATGGTTTAAATATGTGAGTTGTTTTAGCAATAATTTGGATTTCTTTATCATTTCTTTATATATATAGTGAAACAAGTATTATAAAGAAATTTATCCAATTTTATACATAGTATATTATAATAAAATTAAATAATTTATTATTAACTTTGTAATTAATAAAATCAAAGATAAGAATAAGTTCAAATTTTATCTTGATAATTTTTTAATGTTTTAATTATTAAAAATAAAATATTAAAATTATATTTTTAGAAATTATCTTCTAATAAAAATTAAAACATTTAATTAATGTTATTTTTAAATTTAGTTTTTAATAAATTTTAAATATTATTTTAGCTTTTTATTTTTTTTTATATTTATTTTTAAAAAAATATTGAAATAATATTTCTTATATATTTTGAGATTATTTTTAAATAAATAATTATGATTTAAAATACTAGGATTGAATTTTAAGCAAGAAATTTTTAAGTTCCTACAAAACAATCTCTTATCAAAAACTTTATTATATTTTTTACATGCTGTCTTATACAGTTTTTTTTAAAGAATAATAAGATTAAATTTTGAAAAAGGAATTTTTTTTATAATGGAAAAACATTAATACTATATGCGCACAAATAACGTAATAAAACCACATATTATAATATAATTAATTAAAATTATAGAACTTTTCTTACTATAATTACTTATAAAAACCTATTTATTGATTAATTTATTTATTTCATTATTTATATTTGATTTAGAAAATTATTTTAATAATTCGTTGCTAATGAACATCCTTAAATTTAGATATCAATTTAAAAAATTAAATTTTTAAAAAATAAAAAATAAAAAATTATTAACTAATTTAACAATTAAAAAATACTAATCATTTAAGAGTCCAAAATATGAGTAATATATATATATATTTCAAACCTTACAAAATTAAAATGATTGATTTAAATGCAAAAGAAGAGTCCATAAAAAACTTTTTTGCAAAGTAATTAAATTCTAAATTTCTCATACAAGATTTAATAAATTATACTAGGCTGAAGATCTAATGATTTTTTATATCAAAATAATAAAGATTAAATACTAAAACCATGATTTTAGTAAAAATATCAAATTAAGATTATATGAATAATAAACTAAAAAATACATTATAAAATTATATCAAGTAAAATTATTCATTTTTCAAAGCTTAAATCTTATATCAAATATATTTTTTACCTTATCATATACTATTGAAAAATCTTTGAAGTAAATAATAAAAAAATAAAAGAACTAAATTAGAATGCCAAAAGCCAAAAATAACACAGAAGAATACAAAATCATTATTATAGCTTTAAAAAAATAATTAAAAACTAGGATATTATATTATAAAAGAGTTTAATTAAAAATATGGTAGCAAATTACTTTAGGAACATAGATGAAAATTATATAGGTAGTGAAAATAATTTAATTACTAATATTATTTTTATTTATTAATAGAACCATAAACAAGATAAAATAAAATAGGTTAAAAAAATAATATTATAGGCATCTTTTTATAAAAGTAAAAAATAGCTGTCAACAAAAAATTATCATTAAAAACCTTAGATTGATAACTAGAGAGGACCAATTGTAAACCAAGGTCAAAACCAAACCTTGAAGCACAAAATTGCATGCTTAAAACAAAAAGGGAGTTTTTTATTTTTATTTTTATAAGAAAGTAATGTTAGAGAGAAGATTTAATAAGGTTTCTTAGAATATTGGTTTTTGAGGGCTTTGAGTAGATAATTACTTTGTAAAAGCTTTCCAAAGTCAAGGTTTTTTTTGGATAAATGTAGTTTTTGTAGAATAAAAAAGAAGCTATATTTTAGTGAATTGTGTAAGTTTTGTAGCAAAGTAACATGTGAGAATTTGTGGATTTGTGAACATAGCTGCATTACATGTATTTTATAAAATTGAGCTAAATTGGATTGTTTGATTAAAAATAATTAAAATTTAAGTGAATTAAAGTGTTAGAAATTGGATATTAAACGTTGAAAAAGGATGATAGAAAATTCATGAGCAAATTAGGAGTATTTTCTTTCAATCTATAAGATCAAATCCATCTACAAATAAATATCCAATGCATTCCATGTTTATTTTTATATAATACAACAAGGTATTATATATATATATAGTTAAAAATATATTATACAAATATTTATATATACACTTACATACACATATGTGATTTTTTAATTATAAAATGTATACTTAATTTTTTTCTACTTAAATATGTATTATATATATATATATATATATATATATATATATGCTATTAAATATATAAATATACTTTAATAATTTTATATAATCTTATTTTTATGTTTTTATTTTTTTCTTTATTTTAGACTATTAAATTTATTACATAAAATATAAATAGAATAAAAAAATAGATTATATATAGAATAAAAATAAAAAAATCATAAAAGAATCTTCAAGCTAGATTAAAGACAATTTTAGATATAAGATTAGGAATATGGTAATATTTGAATTACTTTAAAATTTGTATTGACAAAACTAAGGTATTTATTGTCTTACATCTTCATTTATATTGTGTCAACTAGATTATATAGAATCTTCTTAGAAAATTTATAAGAGCTACAAACTATCTTAGAAGTTTTAATAATCTTTTATTAAAACTCCTTGTAGCTATAAATCTATATAGGTTCTTTGAAAAAAATAATCTCATGTGTAGTTAAAAAAGAAGATTTAAAAAAAATAAAGAAGAAAATTTATAAAATAAGTAGATAGTAAATGGCTATTTATAGGTTAAAAAAATAAAAAGTTTTAAATTAAAATAAAAATATAAGAAAGACATTGAAAAGATTGAAGCTAGCTTTAGTCTTGCCTCTAAGAATTATAGTTTGTAAAAAAACCAATAGAACTCTTTAAAGCATTACAAGCATTGTTAGCCAAGAGTATATGTTGGAAGATGTTTTTATAATTTTTTTTTTTTTATAAGTAAAAGACTTCTAAGAAAAGTTATTGTAACCATATAATATAATAAAAGATCTAGTTTATATCTAAGAATTTTTCTTAATGTTACTTGAAGAAGTTAATACCTAATCTATTATTATCTACTTATATTTACTTAAATATAAGTATTTATAACATCTAAGAAAACTTGGATGATTTTACAAGATTATAAAAACTTAAGAAACGTCATAAAATGTTGGAAAATTTGGACAACATTAAAAGAGTATACAATAAAATAATTTAAATATATGCATAACAAAATAATTATAATAATTATTTTTTAAATTATTGATATGTATATATATATATATATATATATATATTTAGTTTCTATTATTACTATTATTATTATTATTATTATTATTTTAATATTATTATCAAAGGAATATTAATGATTTTTATTATAAATAATTTTAGTAGCATAATAAGGGCCTTTAGTGTAATCACAATTAGAGATGATAAGTTTTAATAAAAAATAATAATAAAGAGATAAATAATAGATACAAAAAAGAATTCATATTAATTAATAATATATTTATATATATATATATATATATATATATATTTTTGCACATGAGTTGAGTTAAAAATTGATGAAACTATTTGAGATTTTACAAAGACTGGCTTGTTAAATCTAAAATTTTCAAAATCTTAGTGAGATGTAAGTTTTAAGATTGCATATGATAAATGATATTGTTGAACTTTAAATTATAAATTTTAGATGGAGATTATGTAAAAATTATCACATTTCAGATATATTAGTAAATCAATCTTTGATTCAAGAGCGCTGCTACTGTCATTCTTATCAAGCTATAAGCTTGACTATAGTAAAGAAAACCTGCTTGAAACATCCTTGAGTTTTAAAAACTTTGATTGATGCAAGTTTATCAAGCAACGGAACCGCTCATCGGAACAGCAGGGTAACTCAGGATGCCAGTATTTTCCTCCACATGAGCCATGGTTCGCATACCTGCTAGGGCAGTAAGAATACCAGGCGTTGTGCGGACAAACTGAAGTGCACATTGAGCATCAGTTGCATTCTTTCCAAGCTCTGAGAATGAGGTTCGAGTTTCTTCTGCCAGCCCTTTACAAAGAATTGCCTGTGAGCATGGAAGGCATAATGAGTAACCTACACAAAAACATTCTGACAAATCAAATGAAGGAGACAATACTTTTTGGTGGAACTTGAAGAATTTTTGAGAACAAATTGAAGTAAACAAAAAGGAACACTCACCTAGGGCTCCTTTTGTAAGGCCAAATTGCAAAGGCCCCATATAAAATATACCACCGTCCCTTTAAGCCAATCTTACCGATCATCATGCGACTGACAAAACATGATAGTAAAGTTTGAAGCTTACTTGCATAAGCGAAGCCGATGCCACAACTGAGACACCTAGCTGTTGGGCAGCACTCAAGAGTGACATGCGCTTCCCTTTCATGAGTTGTGAGTTGATTGTTGCTGCATCCTGCATACGTAGATTGTAGGGTAATTGAACCACCCGGAAGTGATGTTCATCACCACCTGCACCCATTATAATTCGTCTTCAAACGTCAGATTTCATGCTCAAGAACAATTTCACATCGACACAAAAGAAGAATATGAAATGCGTCTTCAGCATAATCAAGTATATTCTTTTCAACCATACTGCCTACTGACATACCAACTTCCCGAGCCGCAGCTACCAACTCCTCAAGAGAAAGATGACCACGGTTCTCTGGAGCCACTCGAAAGCCATTCCAAGTGGCAGTGCCATAAACGCTAAGCTTTCCTTCGGAGCAAGCCTCTTCTAGGGCTCCAAAAGCTTCCCGGATGCGTGTATAGAACGTCTCCCGAGATATTGCTGACAATTGTGTCTCCGGATTATGGATGTAGTAAACGTCAACAGTCTCCAATCCCAAATTTTCGCGACTCCTATCTAACTACAGACCGAGTGCCAAATTTAATTTAAAATTACTAGACTTCCACCAAAACTAAAGTAACAAATTGCAGAAAGATGCCTATAAAATGAAGATAGCCATTTGCCATGAGATTTGTGAGGTAAAACACAGTGAAGAAAGAGAGAAAACCAAAAATAAATAAATCCTGCTAGACATCTGATTTCAAGTTTCACCTGGTTTTTAAGGTATGCTGGGGTCATGCAGTGACATCCAGCTACGAAATCGGACCATGTGAACAGACCAGTCTTCACATAAGTTTCCTGAACCCATCTTCGAGGATCTGCAGGCTTTTCATTGCCGAAGGTAAGGTAGCCTCCCTTCGTGCAAACGATTACCTGCTCCCTCGTAATAGACCCCAACCTGATACCTTCAGAGATAGCACGCCGAACTGCTCGCTCACTCCGTGTACTACGGTAATTCACTGCACTGCTCAATTGGAGAAGGTATCAGTACCAGTCACATGCAGGTGGTCGCTGCAAAATTGACAATACTTTACAAAATTAAAACTGGCTTCCATCGATTCATTTAATCAATAACCACCATAACAAAGAGAGGACATGATGGACATTAGCAACTGCAAAAGCAAACTCGAAAATAAACATACGCACGTGTCTAGTACATTTACGCCGACGGCCAGTGCTTTCGTCATCGCTTCGACATATTCGTCGTCGGCAGCGTCGGTTTCAGGTCCCAAGTATGTTCCTACTCCCAGGGACGATACCGTGACATCCCCGGCGCCTTCAGTTCTTGTGGGAAGAATTCGAAAATGACCATTTCCTACATGACAGACGCATGCAAGTAATTTCAGAAAATTCAACAACTTCAACAATTGTTCAACAAAAACCAAAATTTCGCCATCGCCATTATCTCTTCCATCACAAAGGCTATAGGGAATTTCTGAGAGCAAACCACAAAAGCAACAACAACAACAAAAGGTGAGGCAGAATGGAATGGAAGATGTACCACAGCGGGAGGGGACTCTGTGCGCATACTGCGCAGTGCCAGCTGCGTCCGCTCTGCCTGGCACCAGCGCAGCGACGCTCCGCATCATCGACCCTCTCCCTCCCAATTCCCCCACACCTGCCAAGCAATCAACCAACAGACAGAGCAAGCGAGATTATGAGAGAGATTGAGCGAGAGTGAGAAAGACGGATTGCATGCGACAGCGATGGATGCACCCAATGCCTCAATTGGAGTGGCGCTGATCCTTTGATTGATTGATTGATGGATGGATCGGTAGATAGCTCGATCGCAAGCTTGCGCTGCAGCTTGTGCTCCTGCACGATACGCTGGCGATGGATGGGCCCTTCCTTTTGCCAGTTGGGTCTCCCTCCGGAGCCCATCCATGCAGCACCTAGCCCTAAAACTCCCACCTTTGGCTCATGGCTCGCTAAGATGATGACTTGGAATCCTCCCAATCTCTCTCTTTAGTGAACTCTTTCCATTTCTTTTTTTTCTCTCTGTTTTTGGTTTTTGTATTGATTTCATGTAGTATTTTTATTTTCTTCTTAATCTGATAATGATAAGAAGATGTTTTTAATTTATTTGGAGTTTGTTGTTATACAAGTCATATACATGCTTCCTCAAAGGCACTTCCTCACAGGCGATGTATGTGCACCAAATATTGCAAATAGTGAATTTTAGACATTACAAATGAATGACATATTGGCAAATAATTGAAATATTATATTAATAAATGATTGTTCATTTTTTGTAGTATAAGATGGACTTTATTGCATATACTATGATAATAGTGCAATGGGAAGAAGCAAAGAATTAGGTTTGATTTTTCAAATATGTTATTATGATATTAAGTTTGGTTTAAGGGAACATTATTTTATCTAAATAACAATAAAGTAGTTGCAAGCATTGTTTGTCAATTTTGCTTGATATTTCATTGTGAAAAAATAAGTGCCAATAAATTTGTATCTTGCAATATCAAGTATTTTTCAATATTTTGAGTTTGATGGTTATAGTTGTTCCTTCATGGTGCAATATCCAAAGCATTTTATTTTATATGGAATTTATTTTTAGATTATTTTTAATATTTTAAAAAATAAAAGAGTACTTTCTATAATTTTAGATATAAATACAAACCAAAGAATATCTTACCTTGACAAGTGTATTTAGTTTATATTGAAAGAAGTTCTCAATAAATTTTATTTTATTGTAATTTCTTTATTAAAAATACATAATAACATTAATAAAAACTATGAATAATCAATTTAAAATACTTTAGAAATTCTTTAATGGAATTATACATTAATAGAAGAATAAAGATATTAATATTTTATCTAATAAAATAAGAAGCATGACCAAGTGAAATGCACCTTGAAACATTATATTAAAATGTACCTTAAAACATTTAAATGAATATTACATTCTAAAAATTAATTTATAATTTATATTTTAATATAATATTTTAAGGTATATTTTAAAAAATATATATATAAGTAGTAAAATTGGTATAAAAATATTATTTAATATCTTCATTAACAATTAAAATGTATAAATTTTAGATCATTTGAAAATAAGACTTAAATTTAAATTCAAATAATGCTAATAGAATGGTTCTTTTGAATCATTGCTTCTATAGAGGTTGACACATATTGTATTAGTGAATTAGTATTCAAATATGATTTTTTGTTATTCTATAAGTTGGCATATGAAATAGTAGTATATTGCATTATGCTTAGTGCAAGAATCAAACTTGGTAATATATACTAAGGCAAGAGTTGTTTGGTTGTCACATCAAATTATAGTAGCTTGAGTTAAGATTGATGTTTGATGAAGATTGTAAAGGAAATAAAGGCAAATTTCCTTAGAGGCAGTGGTGGCCACAACCATGTATTTTGCCTCCATATTAAAAAGTGCCATTCACTATTGTTGTATATACAAGAATTAGATCTTATTTTTACAGACTTGAAATCTTTTTTTTTCACCATTGTCACTTCAATAGGGAGAATAGACCAAGCTATTAGTTATATCAAACAACCTATGTAATTAATATTTTTACTAGATCTAGTCTACTTTATTTATACTTATTTCTAAAAACTTGTTGTGATTAATGTCACTAATTATGATATTTTAATGGATCAATAGGTCCTTTATCCATTTGGTTTTGATTTAGATAATTGGATTGAAGAAGCATGGATTCAATTGAGATGGTCTTCTGGTGATCAAAGAAAAGAATTCATTCTCTTTACATTTGTAACAACTATTATAATTATATCAACAGAAACCATATTTGGTTGTAATGCATTAGTACTTAATTTGCCTTGTGGAATAATCCTATTAAAAAAATATTAGCATTTATATTTTATTCTATAGAACCAACTAATCCACCCTCTTTAGAAGTTCATGCAAATCATTGGAAAGATCCATCTCCTCCTTAGAAAACATGTGCAAAATTTTTTTGCCCATGTGAAGAAATTGTATCTTCATTGGATATATTGAAGATATCAAAATCTTCTCTCTCACCTATCTTTGTCCAACATATTCATTGACATCTATTAAATGAAAAAATTATCCTTCTGGAGCTCTTTGCAAGTATTGATACAAATTTGAGAGTAGTATTAGAAGTTGGGCCTATTGTTTGATGATACATCTATATGGATATTAGAATTATACCTAACTAAGTAGCTCAATATCATCTCTAAAGATTATTGGTTATGTATCTCGAACAACTACAACCTCTACCATTTGTGGTTGTTTTAGCCAACTTCTTTGTCATATCATCCTCATTAGTAATGAGAAGATTATGTTGTTGTATTGTAAGATAACTATATGATAAAAGATGATAATATGGATCTTATTATAGAAGAGCCAAGTTAAAAGATAAAGTAAAAAAATATGGATAAAAGATAGGAAGGTAATAAAACTTCTAGTAATGCTATCTTTAGGGTCATAAACAAGAAAAAAATAAAAAAATAAAAAAAAGATTGAAAAAATAAATGATATAGGCATCTTATGGAAGAAGTTAAGAGTAAATTCTAGCAAAAATTACCTAAAAAAACTAGATATTGATATCCAAAGAAGGCTAGTTATGAACTAGAGTCGAAATCAGATCTTGAGGCATAAAACTAAGCCTTGACAATGATTCTAGGATTCTTTGGTAGATCAAAGAATGGAATTAGAGAGCAGACTTAATAAGGTTTTGATAAGCATTGGTTTTGGGTGATTTGGATTTGTATTAACTTTGTAAGAGCTTCACAAAGTTAGAGTTTGTTTTGGAAGACTCTGGATTTGTGAAATAAAATGGGAGATACTTTTTGGAGAATTTTGTAAGTTTGGAAATAGAATTATAAATGAAATTTTAAGAGTTTGTGGATATATATGTGCTTAATATATGCTGTGAGTTTGAGCTAGATCAAAGGATTATATTGAGGGTTATTAAGGTTTAAATAGGTCAGGTCTCAAAAAATAGAATTTTAGGTTGAATGAGGGTTTCTAAGATTTCTTGCAATCTATCAGTTGAATTGGAGTGAAATTTATGCACGTAATTAGTAGAATTATTTTTTTACATATGTAAAAAGTTTGAAATGAATTAAATAGTTTGATAAGGAAATACTGGCACTAGAAATTCAACATTTAGATTGGAGAAGGAGGCCGACTAATATTTGAGCAAATATTAGGATTGATCTTCTTTTTGGTGAGTTTGATCTTTAAAAAATTTGTGCTTATTGTCTACTTAATTTTTAAGAAGTGTACAAAATTTGAGTTAAAATCAATGGTTCATTCATTAATTGTTGAGGTTTAAATTTACTATAGGAATTACTTGGTATTATTTAGGATTTGGTGAAGGTTTTTTTTAGGATTTGAATAGAATTTGGTTAGGATTTTTTAGGATTTGACTAGGATTTATTTAGGATTTGGTTTGGATTTGATTAGTATTTGAGTAGAATTTGATTAGATTTTGATTAGGATTTAATTTAGATTTCTATTTTAGTATATTTTTGAATTTCTATGTTATTTCTTAATGATTTTTTCTAAATTATCTCTAAGAATACTTTGTGTTTCTTACATAATTTCTTTGAAAGATATTTTATTATATTTGTTAAACTTTAATTGTAATTTATTTAAGAATCTATTAGAGTTGTTAGGACTTATTGTTATAATTTTCCTTTTATCTTTCACAACCAAGTGCTTGGTGTATTCTCAAGCCAAATTTTACATAATAGGACAATGCTACATGGATTTATTGATTATTAGATGGCCTTATCAAGATCATTTATGTATTAGAGCAAGTAAAGGATTATATGACCTTTAATCCAATTTATTTACAGATTTGATGTAACTTACACAATGGTGGTTTATACATCAAACTACACCACCTAGATATATTTTTGAAAATATATCACCATTGCATGACATTCAAATATAAGTATTAGAATCTTATCTAAATATTAATTAATTCTTTAATCTTCCAATCTTTGTAGATGCTGCAACTTTGAGTTTCTATGTCTATTGACCTTGTTTGATTAGAACCAATATGGCATTGTCTCACATACTTATAAAAATACTTTTTAAAGTTAAATAACCTCTTGGATGCTATGTTTATGATATCTTAGATTATAATTAAATTTCTTTGGTTGTTACTAAGGTTGATGGATCTCTTCTTACCATGGTTAATAAGTTAGAAGCACCGCATGGGGTATTTTATTCATTTGTAACATTTTTAGATTCATTTTCATTTCAAGCATGTGGACCTAGTATGGTTTGAAATATCAATTTACAAACCTATAAAGAACCTAATGCCAATGAAAAGAAGTATGTCATAGGCTTTTTAACTAGCACCATAGCTACTTATGATTTTACTAAAAGATAATGTTATTCTTTCTTAAACCAAGTTTTGGACTTTAATAATGTAATATGGATTTTTAGCATATGCTTTATTATTCAAAAGCATTTTAATGACCATATTAGTACTTTGAGGTCAGAAAACAATGAATAGTAGGAAGTAGATCTGGAATTTACTAAGATTAAAGATTCTAAGTCATTTTTTGCTTATAGATTCATATAATTAATGAGTTACAAGCTCAATATATCTTTGCAATTTTACTAAAGACTTAGAAAAAATAAATAATTAAAAGACTCCAATGCCAATGCCAAAAGAATTATTTGATGTAATAGGATTTTGTTAATTATTGAATACTTTGGATTTGAGATGTGGTTATTACCAATTACCATTACTTATTGAAGATCATGTAAAGATAGCATTTTGGAAAATTAATTAAAATGATAAAGATCAATTCCATCATTGAAAATTCATTCTATTTTGTCTTAAGAATGCAATAGCTAAGTTTCAATTGATAATGGA